TTTGAAGTTCAGCGTTTTTTTTCTTTTTCTGAAACTGAGGGTTTACTGAGATTTCGCTTGCATTTTATTTCTCTGTTTTTCTTCATTTTTTCGGATTTATTTTGGGAGTTAATTGTCAAAATCAGTCTCTTTCTCTTGTTATGGATTTAAGGGTTTAGTAAAATTTCACTTTCTTTTTTGGTTTGAGCCAAGAGTTAATTATTTGAAGTTCAGCGTTTTTTTTCTTTTTCTGAAACTGAGGGTTTACTGAGATTTCGCTTGCATTTTATTTCTCTGTTTTTCTTCATTTTTTCGGATTTATTTTGGGAGTTAATTGTCAAAATCAGTCTCTTTCTCTTGTTATGGATTTAAGGGTTTAGTAAAATTTCACTTTCTTTTTTGGTTTGAGCCAAGAGTTAATTACTAGGTATTTCTCATCTTTTTGTCCTCATGTTGTGATATTTCTCGGTTTCTTATTAGCAAATATTGAATTTTTTTTTCTCTCGTCTCATTGTAATGTGCTGGTGAGGTCCACTCCAGTTCATTCTTGAAATTTTGGGGAACATTTCGATTCCTTAGTTTATTTTCTAAAATTCGTATGAATTCCAGGGTTCCGGGAGATTTTTCAAGATTAAGACATCAGTTCTATTATGAAAGTTTCTATGAATTTCGTGTCTTTTTCATGAATTTGAATAACTTTATTTCTTTTTTTTCCCAATTTTTTTTCGAATTTATTTTGTAGGTTAATTGTCAAAATCACCATCTTTTCTTGTTTTAAATTCGAAGGTTTACTTAGGTTTGAGTTTGGAGGCAACGGGTATGTCCTGTTTTGGTTTTCAATATTTGTTTAATTAGTTTCTTTCCCAATAAAGGTTGAATATGCATCTAATTTGTTTATGATGCTGTGTTCTATTTCAGTACACTTCTTCAAACTGGGGAGAAATTTCTACTCCTTTATTTTTCTGAATTTTGGCGTTTTAGTATATTTTTCAAAAACAAAACCATTTCTTTATTAAATTCAAAAGTTCTAATTTGGGTGTAACTGTTTTTTTGGGTATAGGCTCTATTTCACTCGTGTAAAATTGGGAAACCCCGCAAAAGAATTCCATGTTCAGATTGACACAGGCAGTGACATCTTGTGGGTAGCTTGTAATGGCTGCACTGGATGCCCGACAAAAAGCGGACTCAATGTAAATCCCTTATTCTTCCTGAAATTTCTCATCAAACTTCATTTCACAAAGCTTAAATAAACTTATTTTTCCACAGATTCAACTGGAGTCCTTCAACCCGAAAAGTTCGTCGACTGCTTCATTGCTCAGTTGCTCGGATCAGATGTGTAATAATGCAATTCAAAATGGAGAGGCCACATGCTCCTCTTCAAATTCGAGTAGTCAGTGTTCATATTCTTTTCAGTATGGAGATGGCAGTGCTACATCAGGATATTATGTATCTGATACGCTCTATTTCGATACTGTTGCTGAGAATAACAAGCGTGCAAATTCTTCGGCTAAAGTCATTTTTGGGTATAGATTCTCACCTGGATTTAAGTTTCCATTTGTTTGTTTTAATTGCTCTGTTGAGATAGTTAAGGTTGATAGTTTATAAGAATGTAAATTCAAACTAGGAAACGAATGCATGTTCCTATATACCTCATTTTTCCTCTTTGCTAACTTTTTGAATGTTGGGGACATTTTTTGAGTTTCCTAACGACCAATTTGACTTGTGCTGTTTAAGGAAACTTTCAGCCTTTATTGTAGTATGTTTACCAGGAATTTCATTCTAAATGAACAATTCATGATACTCGAGCATGTAAGTGGACAGCCTTGAATATTTCATCAAGTTTCTCATGGACCATTAACTGACCTATTTTTATATAGATGATGATGAACATCTGTCAGAGTATCGTTTAAAATCCCCATTTCAGTTTCTTAGGTTTCGTATGTCTTATGTACTCTAATTATCAAAAGGTGTTCATAAGGGTAAATGATAGAAATCCCCAAATCAGTTTGTTAGGTTTGGAATTATGCATGTCAACTTAGTTTCAATGTAGTGGGCGTATTCCATATGAACAATTTATAAGGTTTGCATGTCAACTTAGTTTCAATGTAGTGGGCGTATTCCATATGAACAATTTATATGGTTTAAGGTACGTATACGCAGGGAGCAAAGCATTGTCCTAGAAACTAAAATTCAGAAATAGAGTGATGTGCTTACTTCAAATATTTTCTTTAGAAATATTAAATATATGAAGACTAGTCCATAGAAGATTATGTAACATGAAATTTGTTTTGATTTAACAGATGTAGTACCTCAGAGTCTGGGGATCTAACAAAATCAGATGCAGCACTTGATGGCATTTTTGGTTTCGGAAAGCAACAATTATCTGTAATTTCACAGCTCTCTTCTGCTGGGATTTCTCCGAGAGTGTTCTCTCATTGCTTGAAAGGTTCAGATAATGGTGGAGGGATTTTGGTCCTTGGTCAAATAGTTGAACCGGGTATTGTTTATACCCCACTTGTTCAATCCCAGTAAGTTGCCATAGAATTATATGTCATGCTAGTTTCCTTTTTTTTTTTGCTGATATAATATGCCATGCTAGTTTTGAAGATGTTTGAATGCATAAGCCCTTTCAAAAGTTGTATCTTTTGATATGTTCTTCCAATAACCATGTTGCTTTTCTAGCGTATGTTTTCTTTGGGTTAGTTAGTTTGTAAGGGTATTTGCTTTTGTTTTGTAAGAGCTGGGTATCAGGCTCAAACTCTACCCTTAAGGTTGACAAAGATTCTATAGGGAGCAGGATTATGAGACTATCAATCCATTTGGTTTAGTGTAACAAGTGACGACAAGGTCCGCTCCTTGTTCACTAATGGTTTTATTTTGCTAGTATCATTACCCTTTCTCCTTATACTATCTTGGTTAGGTTTGTTTATATTAATGCATTTGAATAGGGCCCCTCGCCCTATTTTATTTTCCAAAGAAAAAGAAAAAAAAAGAAAAAAAAGAACCATGTTGCAATATCCAATGTGTTTTATTTTGAGTAGCAGGACTATTTATTATTGAATATATATATATCTTTTGGTCAGCAAATTAATCTTAATGTTCCGTCTAATCATTAATTTTGTCCCTAAAAGATGAAAAATATATTCTAGAGTACAATTATTCCAAGATATATGCATGTCAACTCATGGACATGATTATTATTCCTTAAACCGCAGGACATTGTAAAACATGTCCTAAATAGGTATCAATTCATTATTTTTTTCCCAACAACTTAATGTATTTAATCTTTTTTCATTAAAAGATGTTGTAAATTTATCATCTTATATAAATGTCGTTATTGTGATGTTTTTTCACATACATATGATTTTTAACCGATGGAAGAAAATAAATACAGCTAACAATCATAAACATGACCTACATGTTTCTTAGGAGCGATGGAAGATAAGAATAACAAGAATTATGGCTGTTTGCACTAGTCCATGAATACAGCTTGCTAAAAGAAGAGTGTGTCCTACATAGTAAAATTTTTGTGTACTACATAGTAAAATTTTTTACTTTCAATTATTTATAAATTACTTGTTATGGACTCTAATTTCTTACACCTTTGCTTTGACTATTCAAAGTTATTATTTTATTTCCTTTTTCTTGTACTACATATGAACTTATTATGAATAACTTGCTTTGTTATTTACTAGAGTTATGCTACTTCTATGTTTCATCAACAACATACTATCTGTTCTTGCTAGCTAATATAATGAAAGCTCTGGCTTAGACCGACTGCCTGAGCGATAAATATATTCTGACTATGTAGATTATTGTGATAAGGATCTATTGGTAAAGTGGGTAGATCCGAAGTAAACCCAGAAAAAGTGGGTTCTCTTATTTTATCCATTCTTGTAAAAAGAAATTGTTCTCTTGCTAAATTTAGCTTAGCAGATTTGATAAACCTTGGGAATATAGACTGGATTAGTCAAATTTCATTCAGTTTGAGGAAACTACATTAATGGACAACATTATATTTGATTAATATAATGTTAAAATAGGGATAAAGCATAGAAGAAAAAGATTAACCACTTCTAATTGTCTCTTTTGTTGTTTTTGCAGCATCCCATTTTATATCTTTATGTTTCTTTAGATGCTCACTCTCTTTCTCTTCAAATATTCAGACCTCATTACAACTTGAATCTAGAGAGTATCAATGTCAATGGGCGACAACTAAATATTGATTCCTCAGTGTTTTCGACATCAGCAACACAAGGAACAATTATTGATTCTGGAACTACACTGGCTTACCTAGCAGAAAAAGCATATGATACTTTTGTTAATGCAGTAAGTTTACAGTGTAATAAAATTTCATTTTTTGTATCAGATGGTTATTTAATCATATTTGTTCAACTGTTATAATTCTTGAAAACCATGCTTCTTTTCTCTGACTACTTTTTACAATTTTTATTTTTTGGCAGATAGTTTCTTCAATTCAGTCATCGCTAGTGCAGTCCATTAATAGTACAGGAAACCAGTGTTTTGCTACAGCTAGCAGGTACTATTCTAACCATGTAATAACTTCTCTTTCAATAATATAAAAATGAAAATTACCCGTGATTTTAGTGTCATATAACCTTTATAATGCATTCTTATAATTTTTTTTACAGTGTTGATGACGTATTTCCTCCTGTTACTATGAATTTTGCTGGGAATGCAGCAATGAACTTGAAGCCTAGAGATTATCTTCTACAAGGGGGTTATGCTGTAAGTTGATCCATACGTACATTGCTTAAACTAATCATATTTTATCAAGTAGGTAAAAGTTTAGGTGCTTTTAAATAATTGATGCAATGTTTGATTATCTACTTTCAGGGTAATGCTATTATATGGTGTATTGGCTGGCAAAAGAACCACGGTGGAACGACAATCCTAGGAGGTTTGCAGGCTGGGAACTTTATCCTAAATTTGTGGTCATTTTGTGATATCTATAGGATTTACTGAAAATATTCAAACTCAAAAATAAGAAACAAACGATTAACCTCAAAGGTTATATAGTACTATGAAGATGCATTTAAGACGAGTATTTGCTCGGTTACATCACAATCTAAAGTGTGAAAAATTATTATGGCTCATATATTCCTTCGAACTTGAAACTTTAGTTACTACCTTAGCATATTATATACATCAGAAGAGTTCTTCAAACTTAGGTATTGCAATGTAAAATGTGTGGATGGTTAAGTTTATCTATTTTATTCTAAAATTCAGTCTATTTTATGCTAAAATTTAGTTAAAGAGAGATGGAAATATCTTCAAATTCTTTCCTAACAATAAAACTCAAAATAAGCTTTAGCCTTTTTAAGAATGTTCAAGTTTCTCTTTAAGCCTAGCTATCATAAATAATGAAATATGGTTAACCAGAACAGCAAATGATCTTGATATGGAAGTTTTGCTATAAGACTTGCCATCGTCCTTGACGAGATATGGCTGGATTCAAATGACTATAACTTGTACATTTTACCTTACTTTAAATATCGAGCGCAATCTTGCAATTTATTCCCAATGTTTACACGAACATAACTGAGACTCGGTCATATCTTCTCATTTCGATAGTCATGATGTTTATCATTGTCAGTCATGTTTAACTTATGGATTCACCTTGTATCTGCTCAAGCAGTACGTAAACCTCGAATTATAGACAATTCAACCAATCTTCATCATTACTTCTACCAACTAATGTCTTGATTTTCATCGCTTTAGTTGTTAATTTTTTTACCCCCCCTATTGCAGACATTGTCCTTAAAGACAAGATTTTTGTTTACGATTTGGCTAATCAGCGCATAGGTTGGAGAAGTTATGACTGTAAGTTTACTATACAGAGCTTTTTACTCTTAGCCATTTTGCAAATAATCTCATCTTTTTTTTTTCTTCTTCTTCTTTGTGTTCAGGCTCTTTACCCGTAAATGTTTCTTCATCATCTGGTAAGAATAATGAGTACACCAATACTAGGCAAGTCGGTGTCAGCAGCTCATCACGCCATGTGAACTACGCGCTATTGCCATTGAGCATCGCGGCTTTCCTCGTACATGATTTTCTATTTCACATCAACCGATTATAGCTCACCTGAAGTACGCATAATAATAACGTAGATACGCATGTATATGTATAATGAATTGTTGTAATCCATTCTTTATTGATGGTGTTTAAGTTGATTCATTGTACACGTGCATCGATTTAGATTGGCAATAGTACATTTTTGTATAATTATTCTTTTCAATCTTTATTGTCTTCTCATTTTGGGATTCTTCCACCTGCTTTCATGCTAGAACACTGGTGTTATTTTTCAGTACGTCAGCTGGCCCATTTAAGGATGTTTTTTTGTCCTGGGCCTTGTAACGTAGTTGTATCTATATCATAGTACATAACTTGGGCTTCTTAAATGTTATCCACGTGATGTTTTTTTTTAAAAGGCAACTGAATAAAACTGGTAAGTATTGAATACTAGCTATTACCCCATGGCTGGAGTTGAGCTGCGTGCTCCTACCTATCTTCAGAAAAGAAAAGAAAAAGGCATACCAAGAAAAGAAATAAATGAAAATCAACTGCAACATTTACGCTAACATCAAAAATGCGAGTGCCTAAAAACTCTTTCAAACAGAACACTCACATCCCCCCTCCAAGTTAAGCTAAAAATAATTGCAGAAAGAAACAAGAAAAATGAAGAATAAAGCAATTTGACTTAAAACCAAACCATTGAGCTTTATCAGTATTAATTCTCCATGCTTGAACAAAAGGTGCAAACCTAGTGAATGAAGTCAATATTTGGAGAGAGATACCAAGGTTTATTATATTAATTATACAATATATTCCCTCAAATTTCATCGATTTACCACTTTTTTGTGTGCAAAATATATTGACATGCCAGATTCGGATCCATACCTCGTTAGGTAAACTTGACTTCTATTGGGAGCGAGGGACGCCTACTTAACCGCTGCGGAAGCTAAATCACCCAGAGAGAGAACAACCAACTTAAGCAATAACAAATACAGAGATAAAATAATAAATAAATCAGACGAGACAACAGATTTACGTGGTTCAGCAAACTTGTCTACGTCCACGGGAGCCGCACAAACAATTTCTTTGTAGAAGATCGTACCTGAGATCGAAGCTCGCCTTCGATGGCGAAGTTGAGGAGGCGAGGAAAGTCGCCTGTTCGAGATCGCAGGCGAAGTGTGTGGCGAAGTCGAGCTTGGGAGGCGAGCGGATCTCGCTTGCTGCGTGGAGTCGAACTCGCCTGTTGATGTCGCCCTCGCCCAAAATCTCGCCTGCAGCGGAGTGAACCTCACCTGTGCGTGGTTGGAGCTAGCTGGAGTGTAGCTGGAGCACATCGACCAACCGCCCTAGGGATTCCCTATAAAAGGGAAACCCTATTCATGCGCTGAAAAATGAGGAAGAGAGCAGAGAGAGAAGAAGATATTGGCGGCGGCAATTTCTTGAGCTTCTGTTCTCTCTGTAGTTTAGGAAAAATTTCGATTTTTATTGCTTCTTTGTCCCATTCTCATTTATTGTTGAGAAGAGGGTTGGTAGATTAAATTGGGGAATTTATTGTAATAGAGAGAGAAAGTTTGAGCATTGATTTTAGATTAAAATCAATTGCTATTTGTTTGAGAGATCGCAAGTTTGAGATCCTCTCTTATTTGTAATTTCTTGTTATTAATAAGAAATTATTGTGCCGCTCCCGTGGATGTAGGAAGATTTGTCGAACCACGTATAATCCGTTGTCTTGCATTTGTGCTACTTGTTTCTAGTTGTTGATAAGTATTGCAATCTCGTTTGTATTTGTGTGCCTTCGGTTCCGCTACGCACAACAAGTGGTATCAGAGCTCCGGGTTTGGCTTGTGGTTCAATTTGGAGAAGAAAGCTAGTGTTTGAATTCTTGTTTGAAGAGATTGGATTGTAAAAATGACCGAAACAAGTACATCGGGGTCGTCTCTGTCGAAAGCGATACAAGGGTTGAGCATTAATAATATAAAAATTAATGTTCAAAAATTGATGGCAAGATAAATTTCGGTTTGTGGAGGTGTCAAGTGATGGATGCATTAGACTCCCAAAATTTGGAGGAGACTCTTGAATTACAAGAGAAATCCGAGGATATGGAGGATAAGATTTGGAAGAAAATGAATAGTAGAGCGTGTGGGGTTATTCGATCATGTTTGATGTCAGACTTGATTTATGATGTGATGAACGAGACGTCGGCGAAACGGTTGTAGGAAACACTCAATGAGAAGTATCTTATGAAGAGCATTGAGAATCAGCTTCATTTAAAGAAGAGGTTAATGTGGATATCATGATAGAGGATGAAGATAAGGCGATGTTTTTGCTATGTTCATTGCCAGAGGTTGATTTTGGTACCTTTATCCTTACGATGATCAATGGTAGAATCACTGTCAGTTATAAGGAGGTGACATCAGTATTGGTAAACTATGAGTTGAGGAAGAGTGATAGTGAACCATCCGAGAAGACATCGGGAGATGCATTGACAGTGAGAGGCCGTAGTCCAAACCGCCGTCCATTTAATCGCTCCAAGTTAAAGCAATGAGGTGGCTATAAGAGTGTTGATAGGAATGAATGTCGTTTTTGTAAAGAAGATGGGCATTGGAAGATCGACTGTCCAAAGTTGAAGGACAAAGCCGGGAAGAATAAGGGGAAAGCCGTACAAGCTTCAGAGGTGAATGTTACTAAGGCTAGTGACGATAATTCAGATTTAGATTCTTCAGGCTACTCATGCCTAGCATTATCGTTAGTTTGTTATGCTGACTCTACGGAGTGGATATTGGATTCGGGTACCACATATCATATTTATCCTAGGAGGGATTGGTTCTTCAGCTTTGAGGAGTTGGAAAGAGGGGATGTCGTGCTCATGGGTAATGATCACATATGTCCTATTAGTGGTATTGGTACAGTCCGGATCCAGATGTGTGACGGGGTAACTCGGGAGCTGAAGGAAGTGAGATTCGTTCCTCAATTGACGAAGAATATCATTTCACTTGGAACTTTGGAGGCAACTGGCTATCAGGTGATCTTGGAGAAGGCAACTCTGAAGGTCACGAAGGGGTCCATGGTGGTGATACGAGGAGTCAGGGAAAATAATCTTTACTACTTGAAGGCAAGACAGTAACATAAGGTCTAACAGCTTCGATTACCACAGAGGAGGATACTACCAGCTTATGACACATGAGATTGGGACACACTGGTGATAAGTCCCTGCAGGTATTGACAAAACAAGGGCTATTGAAGGGTGCAAATACCTGCAAGATAGAGCTGTGTGAACATTGCATACTTGGGAAGAAGACAAAAGTGAAATTCGGCACCGTAATTCACAATACACAAGGTATATTGGATTATGTTCATACTGATGTTTGGGGTCCTTCCAAGAACACATCTCTTGGTGGGGCCAATTATTTTGTCACTTTCATTGATAATTATTCCAGAAGAAATTGGGTATACCCTATGAAGCATAAACATGAGGTCCTGAATATATTTGTGGAGTGGAAGAAGAAAGTAGAGTTGCAGACAGGTAGAAAGGTGAAGGTACTTCGTTCGGATAATGGTGGAGAGTACAAGAGTGATCCGTTTCTATAGTTTTGCCGGGATCATGACATTAGATGACACTTCACAGTTAGGGAGACACCGCAACAAAACAGGATTCACGAGAAGGTGCGTTGTATGCTCTCACAGAGTGGATTGACAAGATCCTTTTGGGCCGAGACGTTGGTTTATGTGAGCCATCTCGTGAATAGGTTGTCGTGCACTGCGATATATGGAAAGACTCCTATGGAGAAATGGTCTGCTTCAGCGGCTAGTGATTATGAGTTGCTCCGGATATTCGGGTGTCCAGCTTACTATCATGTGAATGATCGGAAATTAAATCCGAGAGCTAGAAAAGTAATTTTCATGGGCTTTAGAGATGTTAAAGGCTTCAAGTTGTGTGATCCACAAGACAAAAAGATGATCATTAGCAGAGATGTCACGTTTGATGAGGCTCACATGATAAGGTCTCAGATTCCCCAGCAAGTAGAGGAAGGCCAAACTAGTGGGATATCGCAGCAGGTGGAGGAAAATGTGACTCCACAGACTTCAGATAGCACCGTATCTATCGAGACTCCTACAGAGGTGACACTGGGAGGAGATGATATGACAGATGGGCAGATGGAGGATACAGTGGATGTTGGAACTCAGGAACAGGGTCATGTTCAGGAGTCCATTGCAGCTAATAGACCAAGAAGAAATATTCATCGGCCAGCTAGATATGATGATGTCATGGTTGCATATGCTTTATCAGCAGAAGTCGTTGATGATTTGGTTCCTTCTACATTTAGGAAAGCAGAGTCAAGCTCTGATTCGATTAGGTGGAGAGAAGCTATGGAGGAAGAGATGTAGTCTCTTCATAAGAACGATACTTAAAAACTTGCAAAGCTACCGAATGGTAAGAAGACTATTGGATGCAAGTGGGTGTATGCAAAAAAAGAGGGATCTTCTGATGGGGAAAATCGCTACAAAGGAAGATTGGTTGCCAAGGGTTATGCACAGCTTGAGGGCGTTGATTACAACGAGGTATTCTCACATGTTGTAAAGTATTCATTGATTAGGATTCTATTGACATTGGAGGCACAGCTGGATTTGGATTTGGTCTAGATGGATGTTAAGACAGCCTTTCTACATAGAGATTTAGAAGTCTCTTTACAGATTGAAGCAATCGTCACGACAATGGTACAAGAGATTCGACGGCTTCATGATTGGTCGAGGGTACACAAGAAGCCCATATGACCCGTGTGTTTACATGCACAAGCTACAGAATGGTGAGTATATTTATTTGTTGTTATATGTTGACGATATGCCCATAACTTCCAAGATACTTTAGCTATTAGAAAGTTGAAAAAGGAGCTGTCATCCGAATTTGAGATGAAGGATCTTGGAGAAGAAAAGAAGATATTAGGTATGAAGATTGAGAGAGACAGGGTAAAGGGGATGTTGAAGTTGACACAGAGGAGTTACTTGCAGAAGATGCTAAAGGAATTCGGTTATGATGACAATGCCTAGACTGTGAGTACTCCATTAGCTCCCCACTTTAAGCTATCAGCTAAGATATCACCTGTTTCAGTTGAGGACCATGAATACATGTCTAAAGTTTC